GCCCCCCCCTCAGAACTCGCTAACGGTATGTCGTATGGCTACCAAATTTTTAGAGGATGGTGTACTAGTTAAAAATTTATCATATCTACAATTTTTTTGTCATTATGATGTAATATGACGTCATTATGACGTCATTAATGGGATTTTATTGGCCAAAACCGTCTAGATAGGCTATTCCCTGAAAACTAAATGGTATACAACATAAATTTACCAAAAGTTTTTATGACAGAATATTAGAGTGTACTAAGTCTTATGTTGCCCATAGCAACACCGGTGACGTCATAAAATGACGTCATACATATTCAAGATATCCGCCATCTTTGATCATCAATGTTGAATTTTCAAAAATAGCTTTTTTTCGTGATAAAGCCTAAAATACATTGTAAACATACCAAAGACCTTCATTTAAACCTTTTTTGGAAAAAGAAATGGAAGTATTGATGAAATTTTAAGGAAAATAACTTGTATATACCTGTTCTAATGATATTGTCCGCCATCTTGGATTTTGGCCAATAACGTCATCAAATTAGCATAAATTATGCATATTTAATGATAAAATTTACATAAATTCATATGGGATGTTATTAATATTAGAAACCATGAGTAACTTGACATAAAACCCATAAAATTCTATTGTTGAAACAAAAATTACTAAATTTAGCAAAAAATGCCTGTCAGAAACCCGTTGCCATGGCAACACAAAAAATTACTATCTTATTCCAATGATAGAAAATTGTTGCCAGCAATATTTTAGGAAAAGTCACCAAGTTTGGTCGTTCTGGCCCTAGCCATTCAGACGCTATGTGACATCAAAGTTGGCGCGGGCACTTTTAGCCCCCCCCCCCCCGGTCTAGATAGGGTTAAAGCTTCGGAAGTAGTGGCTTGACTATCGTGATTGTTCATTACCATTATTCTAATAAAAGTATTAGTTTAGATAGCTTAAAATCAGAGAGTGGAGTATTTAGGAAAGTATTGGTTGCGTCCTATATCACCTTTGTAACTCTGTAGCATTAGCACTGGCTCCATCGTAGATGGTTAGAAAGTGAAAACCCTTCAAAGTTTCAAAACTGTCGAACGTGAGACGAATGATGCTTCCTTTTGGTACGGTTATGGACCACTCGTAATTGTCATCACTGCCATAGTTACTAGGATAGTTGGGTGACGTAAAAGGGCCTCCAGAATGAGCCGTCAGGCTACCTCCCACTGCAAGAAAATTCCGAATTTCCAGACAGGTTAATGTGGTATATAGCCTGGTAGAGGTTATATTTACCATGATGTAGCTCGAAATATTAGTCTCGTTTCCGAATGGTTAACGTGTGTATAAATGCGACTTAACCCGTTCTACATTCCCTACAGCTAGCATTAAATTTAGCAACGTTTACCAAGCAAATGCTATTGTTGAGGTATACCCATCTTGGACATGGACTGTAAAATAGACTATGCCTGTGAAAATCTTTAATTTGCCACTATATTTATCCGGCCTCCTTTACCCACATCAATTTAGAAGTAGGCAATAACTACCTTGATTACAAGCACCAGAACTGGGTTTTACTCAGAACTCAGCAATACAACAGAATTATCATTAAACAATTAATTGGCAGTAACATTTTTCTTCAATCAATGCAAATTAAACAAATGAAACTTATGGTTTAACCACACACAGCTGTCTTTGGTTATCCAGCAGAACGTTTGATTTCGCCAGGTAATATTTCTCGTCACGGTGGTAACAACCTAGAGTTGGTCTTTTGTATGTCTTTTATTACATTTTAACTCATTATTTTCACTGTTTACACTTTATCATCACTCAAAGTACTTTACTTTGAGATAGGAAATTCTTCATGTGGCAACCGTAGACCATGAGCAGATGGCGACAGATGTACTCATAATATTAAGACATAGCAGCTTTATCTAACACGTGGCAAATCGATCTCTACTTTCTGTAACATAATACCATTTATAGCTGATTTTCTTTATAATCAAATATAGTATTTTGAGGTAAGGTGAGGTATGATATGGTGAAGAACAAACTTTAAGTTTCTTTAACATTGCCATCGGTGTTTAAGATTTTTTTTTAATCAGATGACGTAATGCCGCATTAACCAAATCTTGGGTACGTGTGTATATTAGATGATTTACCATCGAAGTCAATGACCATTTTATTACCTTCACATTTTGGTAGAGCATCACTCCATGTCCCGTTCGACTGGCAGGTTATATTGGCATTCCCTGACAGCTGATAACCGGTTATACAGGTGTACCTGACTGTCTGTCCTGATGTAAAGTTACTGTTGTTATCCCTGTTTCCATTGGCAGGCACACCGGGATCCAAGCATTGGCCTGCAGTACTGCCTGAAATTAGGAAATACATTCAAGTGAATCTCCTTCCTCACAGCTAATAGTATGTCTATACGCATTCCTAACAGTTCTATGAACAAAGCCGTTCATATTAAACAGCAGGTCATAAGATTCTGTGAAAAGTGTAATCAAAGACCTTACTTATATAGGAGAACTGGAACCCCTGACGGGTGACACTGTCGTCAGATGTAAACCTCAGGAACATCATGTTAGATGTGCTGATGATGGGGCTGATTTGTTGATGGTAACCTGTCAACCTGAACAAAAACGGATAAATAAATAAACTAGGGCCCCACGACTTCATACCTTCACCAAATGATGTAAACCTTTATGACTGAGGAATTATGAATCATTCCCCATGATTATGCATATAAGATCATCTGCACGAATAATATTAGTAAATCGTATTCTCCACCATAAAATGAGGTCCAAATTACAAGATGTTACTCTCGTTGTCAATTACATTACACCTCTCATACCGAAGGGCAACAACTCCGCCAAGAAATTATGCCGGGAAATCAAATTATATCAATAACCAGAGGATTCTAGCCGGCTTCCGACAGAGTTTTAGAGAAGAAAATCACATGAAAGGCGTCATAAGGACGTAATAATTAAAGAAAAATTGTTGTTATGATTAACTATTAGCAGTACACTATCCTATGAAAATTTGTTTGTCACAAGTTCTGAGTTCTGAACTACCCCCCCCCCCCTCACCAATCCCATAAAAGAAGAGTCAACGCGTATATAGGGTTAGGTAATAGAAGAAGTAGTCATTTTAACGGTGTTTATTATGCATTTAGAGCATTTATTACCTTTGTAGCACTTCGGAGTTGTTACTTGCTCCGTCGTAGATGGTGAGAAAGTCAAAGCCTGACTGAGTGAGGAAACTGTCGAAGGTAAGACGAATGATGCTTCCTTCTGGTACGGTTATGGACCACTCGACGTTTTCGTTGTTTCCATAGACACTAGGATAGTTTGGTGACGTGACAGGGCCACCCGAGGGAGCCGTCAGCTTATATCCCTCTGCATGATTGAAATGTCATATATAT